ATGCCATCGGCGCATGCCATCAGCAAAGTCCGCAAAACATGAGTTTGTGTCTTCTGTTTGCTGTTCTCTTCTTTTCTTTCCTTCAAAACGATATTTTCTTACACCTTTTATCCGCAATTTGAAAAAAGAAAATAATAATGACCAATCACCAAATCGTATCTGCGCTTGCTAAAAGTTGACTTCGTTTATTTGAATCGTGCCTTAAAAGGTATGGATGATGCATGACCCTAAAAATATTTTCCTTATGTTTGAGAGGGGGATGTTTTGTTTTATACAGAGCTTTTATTTAGCTTTAAAGCCTTTTTGCTGAAAATGATACATCAGTGATTCATCCCGCATATTAACGATGTGCATGCTATCTACAACCTGAGCCTGAAAGAAGAAACCATCGTCATGGGCATCACGCATGACAGAAGACTACGAGAACATCGGTCCGTATGTTCAAAGTATCACGTAGAAATAGCTGTCACCGAACGCGATGGTATCGTTATCGAGGGACACCGGCAGGAATTTCAATTCTACCTCGGTGGAGATTATAAATTCTGCTGACTGTGCTGGGTTTCAACGCAGCGCATGCAACCCATGCTTGCGTGTTTTGTCATGCCCCCAAACTAGTGTCACCTGGGTTGTCACAAACGGCGTGAAAACGTGCGTCCAAAGGACCCTGGTGTGGTGAGACCCACCTTATCCCAATCATTCCCCTAAAAAACGTGGCAATAGGCGTTTTTCACATGAACTTGCGTGTGCCAGGCAAGCTGCTGTCATGCATCTTTAAACAAATTTCGGACAAAGGACACCGCGAAACGTGTGTGCGCACCATCAACGAAAATGTGAAAACTCGGGAAAGCTGGCCAACGGAAAAGACCAGATCGACACGGCGTGCCTGTCATCGCAGATCATGATGGCATACTCAGCGTCCTTACCACCACAGACCTGCTGCTCCAGTGTGTGCCCAAACCCGAAGCCGGAAGAAGGCGTATGAAAGATGTGCTTTGTCAGTACCTCAAGCTTTCCGAACTCGTGAAATGTAGCGACAGCGCATCGCTGCTGGAAACCGAAGGAAAAAAATCATGGACCTGTTCGTAGCTGTGTTTCAAAAGAAAATGGCCACGCCGTATCTTCACATCATGCTTTCACACTTCTGAGATCGCGGGGCGTCTTGGTGCTCTTGGAAAGTTCTCCCAGCAGGCGGAAGAAAAACTGAACCGTAGCGTTTCCGCCGGATACCTTAAGCGCAGCAACTTCAAAGACGTTGCCTTGCAAATCATGCAGATGCACTGCAGGCGAGCCATGTACCAGTCTCAGTGAGTGTAGGTGGCAGCTGCTGGCAGTGTCTTTTTTCGATGTTCGAATGTGGTTACGATCGCATGATATGCCAATGTCGTGTCATTTGTGTTAAGTGGAATTCTTAAGTTGAAGATGTCTTTTTAAATTCTATGGCAAAATACAGAATGACCATTGCAGCTTTGTATTTATTTTGTGTAGCAAGCACCGATT